AACCTGGGGTTCCGCCTCCATCAATCATGCATTCACACAAAAATACACACTCTTGTGTGTTACAGCCTGCTCAGTGTTTTATAACTAAGGTGTCACTTTATTTTTAAGCTCATTTAATAAGACAAGTTGAACCAGAACAGACTCATTTGGAGCAGCATAGAAACACATACAGTACACACATGGATCACTGTGTAGAGCTATGGGCAGCTTCTGCACAACTTCTATAATTAATTAAAGTCCCACTCCAGAAACATTTTCATTTTTATATTTGTATATAAAAATACTTTACTATAAACAATATGCAGTCTAACACAGCTTTTCCTCAAAAAAATTTCAGTGGGCCTCTGTAATAGGAATGAACATTGCCCCTCATTGTGCATTCCAGGATCTATGAATGTTGCCGTCATCCCTTATGTGGATTTGAATAATTTTGCACGCCCAATTTTTCAGTTTTTTTATTTGTTAAAAAAGTTTGAAATATCCAATAAATTTCGTTCCACTTCATGATTGTGTCCCACTTGTTGTTGATTCTTCACAAAAAATTACAGTTTTATATCTTTATGTTTGAAGCCTGAAATGTGGCAAAAGGTCGCAAAGTTCAAGGGGGCCGAATACTTTCGCAAGGCACTGTATGTAGCTATATATTTTACAAAATTATCTAAAAATTTTAAATAAAACATTTAGGTGATACATGATTTTGGTTTAAAACGATCTTTTATTATGGAACTAATTTTGATGGTGCAGATATGCATTCTGTATAGTTCTGTGTTGGATCATTTATTAAGACAGACGTCCCACCCATGGACTCTGCAGCAATCATGTTCGTAATGAGACTTCTATACTTGTCAAGTTGAGATGTGTTTCCCCCTGTTAAAAACCGTGTTTCCTGTAGAGGTGGTTATGATTACGTAAGGTTAGGGGAAACGCATCTCAATGGGGAAACAGTTTTCTATATCAGCACAGGCACTTCTTGAGCAAACTGCTCCAGTTCTCTCAGGTTTGATGGCTGCCTTCTCCCAGCTCTTTTAAAATACAAACTGCATTCTTGTTCTGTATTCATCCAACAATGTTCATGAAGTGGCAAAAACATCTGTTAATGCACTTAAAAAAAATAAAACCTCTAATAAATATATTTAAGATATTTTAATAGCCTCTATGTTTTACCTTGAAACATTACTATTACTAACGGTGATGCTGGTTTATATTAAAAGTGCATTATCTGCCTTTCATTTAGTAAAATCATTCATGTTAAAGACAAAACATGACATTTCCCATACAATAGAACAGAAGTAACCACTTGAGCTGCTTGGCAAACTGACCTGGCGAAGTCATTCTTAAGGACACGCATGAGGATGATGATGACGAAGCCCAGCAGCAGCAACACCAGCACCAGTGAGTTGATAATGGACAGCCAGTGGATCTCCAGTGTTTTGGGGAAGAATGAGTAGTCTCTGAGGCGCTCGGCTCTCCGGCTGTGAGGCAGAGAAGACTCAAACCAGTGCACACTGTAGGTGTGGGTGACTGTCAGGCCGCCTCCACCCACCCCGACTCCACCCACTGCTGCACCTGCCCCCTCCTCCAGGGGAACAGGTTTGACGTCCTTCACTGAGACATTAGCGAAGATCACAGAGTCGCCATTAAACTCAAGGTTGAAGTCTAGATGAGTCCACAAACCCACCTAGTAGAGGAGAGAGAGGGGCAGCAGCGGAAACAAAGACAGAAGAAAGAGACAGACAGAGATAGAGAGAAATGAGTGATAAGGATGACAGTGAGTGCAGTCAAGATAACATTTGTGTTGTCCCTCTTTCTCTTTGGCTCTCATACAATACAATATATCACACCCTCTTCATTACCCTTGTCAAATACAGTTTTTGAGATGCAGTACAACATATAGCACTGTCAGCTACACACAACATCACCATCTAGACATAAACTGAACTGAGCATAAGCAGTCTATGCAAAAAAGGCGGCCTCTGATCCACTGTTTTGGAGAACGTGGTGGAAACAGTTTTTTCCCTCTGCCTTATTTTTAACCATAGTAGGGAAAAAAATCAGTATCTGAAATGCTACTGGAGGGAAACATGAGATGATTTGTGATGTATTCAAGTTGATGTTATGTATTTTCCCTCCATGTATGCTACAATAATTGACTGTTAAAGTTCAGGTCTACTCTGTTAATTCCTGCATGCTGCACAGGGATAGATCTTCACGTCAGATTTTTTTAATCAACCCATTATATGAAGTTCTTCCTTTTTGTGGACAGTAAAGGAAGAACTTGGGAAACATGTTTACTTACTGTGCATATGACAATAAACACTTTGACTTTGATACATCATGCAGCTGACTGCAGATTCAATTATTTACAATCATAGTATTTATTTATTGCTTGTGTAAGTTGATCTTCTTCTGTGGCCTTTTGCGCATGATGTTTTGGTCAAGTGATTTCATGTTTTCACTGATGTACGAAGGATAAATGTGTTAAAAACTCAATAAGAATAAATAAAAAATGAAGCACAATAGAGAAGGTTTACTTTGTGGCTGTGAGGCAGGAAGCCACTCTCCTCTATGTATCCCACAAACCCCCAGACTGGAATGTCATCCAGGACAAATTCAAAGTAGTACAGCTCCTCAATGGCTTCACGAAGCTGGTCCACCTAAGACACACACATCACATGGGTTTCAGCCAAAGCTATAGCTACCAGTGATTTAAATGTTTATTTAACTGAAATAGTCGTGAAGCTTCTGCTGGGTGTTGTGGCTCTAATTCAATGAAACACCTGTGATAAACCTAGTCTGATGCATCTTCCTTTGCCCCAGAATCTAAGCCAGGTTTTGACATAGAAAGGTTCTCAGCTGTGACACCACATCAGATCACATCAGCCTGCTAGCTAGCTGTGCCTTCGCAGTGCAAATGGTAATGGCCAATGGTCTTATGCTTGTATAGTGCCTTTCTATGCATTGCAGCACACTCAAAACACTTTCACACTAGTTGCCCATTCACACTCCCAAGCACTCACGTCTTCACCCAACATTCCCCCAACATTTCAGAGCAGACAATACTTCTCATTTTTTATGATTTTGAAAGCTGATTTTATATACCTAGTGCTATTTTTAATCATTCACTTTCGACTGGAATACATTTTCCTATGGTGTGACAAACTCAGAACACATATTTATTTATACTTTATCCTGAATTTAAGTTTAATCTTGCAGTATATGAGAAACTGGTTATTCAACACGATCCTGCACTGACCACAGTTGTCTAGTGAACAATTTATGAAATACAATAATTTTAATTTAAATGAATTTACTTAACAAAGAGTTAAAATGTCCTACAAGTCTGCCTCTGGATATCCGGTAGTATACAGAGTGTGTAAATGGATACCTGTTTGTCTGAAAGAGTGAGTTGGCAGAGAGTTTTTTTCTCTGCATTTTCCCTGAACTGGATGTGATATAATGACTCTGCCATCCTGTCACCATCTAATACTTCTCCCAGACTCAGGGACTTATGGTGCACCTGAAGAGGAAGTGTTACAATAGGAGTTACAGGGTGCAAAAAAGCAAAACAAAGAATTGGCTGATGATAATAATTCTGAACCAAGTGATTTCAAAACAGTAGATAATGCAATGAGTCAGCTTCAGGCAGACTGAAGACTAAAACACAGGTACAGTACATTCAATGCTAAGTCCTGCTCATATAAAAACATATGGACAAAACAAAAAGCCACCTTGGAGTCATTTCATTTGACCCCTTTTTGGGTTGGAGACAGGAAAGAGGAGACCTGGGACAAATGTCCACAGCTAAACTCTAATAGTGACATAGTGTGCATATGTACTATGGGAGCACCAGGCACCTCTTAAAATGATCTCAGAGTCACTTCAGAAAGTATTAACTTTGAACTGATCAAATTACCTGTTTGTCTCATCAGTCTACACTCAATAACCGATAATGACAAAGTTAAAACATGTTTTTGAAAATGTTTGCAAATGTATTAAAAATCAAAAATTTCAACATTTCATTTACAAAAATATTCAAGCCCCCTATACAAGACACCCCTTTGTCAACAGTCTTCTTGGATAAGTCTCTACAAGCTTTGCACACTTGGGTTTGGGCAGTTTATCCCATTCTTGATGGCAGATCCTCTCAAGCTCTGTCATACTGGGAAGCATCTATGAACCGCCATCTTCAGGTCTCTCCAGATATTCTATGACACTTACGTCTGTGCTTTATCTGGGCCACTCAAGGACAGACAGAGACTTGTCCTGAAGCCACTCCAGTGTCGCCTTAGCTCTATGCTTCAGGTCATTGCTGTGCTGAAAGGGGAACCGTTACTCCAGTCTCAGGTCATTACACTCTGCAGCAGGTATTCTTCATGCTCTATTTGGCTGCATTCATCCTTCCTTCAATTCTGACATGTCTCCCTGACTCTGTTGCTGAGAAACACCTCCGTAGCAGGATGCTGACCCCAGCATGCTTCGCCATAAGGATAATACTAGCCAGCTGATGTTCACATGGACGCCACAGCTTGTTTTTGTTCTGATATGGGGTGTAAATTGTTGAAACTTATCTAAACGGCTCCAGGCAGTTCAGATGGTTCAGTCTAATCATACTGTATCTCAAGGAAAACTAAAGCAAACAGGATGCACCTGACCACGATGACGCCAAGTGCCACAGCAAAGGCTCTGATTTCTCTTTTCTATTTTTAATCAATTTACAGAAATTTTCAAAAACGCTTTTTTACCCTGTCAATATGGGTTATTGAGTGTAGATTAATGGGTACAATGGCAAGTTAATCCATTTAAAATGAAATCTACAACACAATCAAGTGAATGGGTCAGAATATTTTTATAAAATATTGAGACTTTGGTGTTATCCTGGCATTAGTGTCTACCTTCAGTATGGCAAAATAATCTCCCATTTCTCTGTTACAACAGCCCAATAATACATAGCGAAACACAACAAAGACTAACCTTCTCTGGACTGCATACAGGCAGGGTGTAGTAGTGATATGTCTCCTGGGGGTTATGATAAGGGCCCACTTTGTTGACGTAGAGAGTCACGTTGTCCCCCTGCTTGTACCCCACTGCCCAGCCTGAGAACAGCCATAGAACCAAGATGCAGTGCAGGGCCATCATCCTCTGGCAGCCTGTTCCACACTGTATAAACCTGTTGCAAAGATGGACAGTTCATCCTTCATGAAGGATAGCTGTTATTTAAAGAAAATCGTCTGTCCTGAGATGTACTGCATGCATGTCATCTAAAGTCAATTAATAAGCTCATGACCATGGCATTTAGTGCTGATATGAGTAACTATAAATATAGAATTTTAGGCAATGTCACTCCTTCTGTGATCTAACAAAAGCACCAGAAAATAATTAAATAAACTGAGAAACACTGTGTAACTAAGATGGATTACAAACTATTTCATCAGTGTTATCAAGAATGAAGGGGATCATCTGTGTACCTTCTTCCTGTTATGACAGAGCAGTATCATAGCTGCACGTATGGGCTTTCTGACAGTTTTAGTGCCAGCACAGCCACCAAAAAACTCATTTTATTTTTAAGACCCCTCTAATTTTTAGAAGTGATTTCACAGAGTTATATCAGCTGGACAATTAAACCCACAGACTTACAAGAACCAAGGTAGAGATGCTTTTAACGAGCATTTACGCTGATGTCTAGTGATTTCGGTAAAAAAGACAAGTATTTAAGTGCCACACAACGCAGAGCACATCCTGTTTATCTAGCTTTTTCTGAAGAGGTAAACGCGACTATACCGAGGCGTCTCATAGATTAATGTGAAAATAATCAACAACAACACAGAGACACGGTGCTTTACTATGTTCAGCCGACAAATGACTGATACATATGACAGACAGGAAATTAAATCTGCTCTACCAGTCAAGTCACTGAGGTCCTGATAGTGCAAAACCAGCAAAACCAACAAAACCAGTGTTTCCGCCGGATTACTCGGACTCCAGGCCCTGACGATCTCCTCCCGTACTAGGCGACGATAGACCTCAATATAAAGATTTACAGCTAAACATCTTCGAAATCCTCGATGCAATATCCCAACGTATCAGACATTCGTCATGTTCACATCCGGGTACACGGGATATTTTACTGACATATGAGCCAGCGCAGAGAAAGCGCTCCAACTCCACGTCACCTTAAAAATAAAATAAAAATAATTATGGGTGGAGTTTTCCGGAGTGGGCGGAGATACTAACCACACCTCCAACATTACTGGGTAATATTTCCCTTTCGTAAGCTATTTAAAAATTAACATAGTTTATTTTTGTGCTTTGACGCCCCCGGAAAAAAACATTTAAACTGTTCGAGTTATCTGCCAGAACGACTCTTATTTTTGCTTTATTAACCGGATTTCCTTCAGCCTCAATAAAGCATTTTCTCCCAATGTGTTCCCCCATTTTAAAAACTCTGTTTCACGTAGCCCTCCCCCCAGTGGCTGTGGTTAGTATAACTTTAGGGGGTGCCCATCTCAATAGGGAAATAGATCTCCACACAACACCGAGCTTTTGGTGGGTGGCCATACTGCCTCGACTTGTTGGGGTGCGTGGATAGAGAGGATAGAAAAGAAAGAGATTCTTCTGAATCTGTTAGCATTTAAACCTAATGTGTAACCGTTTCTAGCATTAGCCTTTTAATAAATTAAAAGTCTTTTGATTGGGGGAGGGGTGGCGTAATTAGCGTGTTATGTATTACGTTTGTGATGGGGAGCGTAGTTCCCTTTTCCTGTGCCTTACAGTAGTGCTCTGATGTTGCTCTTACTGTAGTTCTGACTAGTTTTTATCTACCTTTGCGTGACCACTTCCCTGAATGTTTTTACTTAACTTAACCCATTAAGTCACCCCCTGGCCTAAAAGTTTCATGTTTACATTGTTTGCTTCCATGTTCGATGTTCTTGTTTTTATGTTCTTTATCTTATGTTATAGTCCTCTTGTTTCCGTTCTATTTACTTATGTATAACTACTGTCATATACCTCAATAAAGTATTAAAAAAAACAGTAGTAACGCGAAAAAAAAACCTTTGCGTGACCAATCAAATAAGAAAGCCCTTTCAATACTTCCTCGTTAAAACTTAGACCAGCTCAATAACATCTGCACTATCGATGCACAATTCTTTAGCGTCTCTGAGGATGCTGCGCTCGATAGATTGACAAGTAATGCCTGCTATTTGATTTCCCGCGAAACAGGCGCAGATCATCCCGCCTGAGATCATTGAGCCAGACTGAAGTCAACTGGTGGTGAGTCCGTTGTAAACAATTACATCCTTCAATCAAATTCAGCGCGCAGAGTTGGAAATGTTATAGTATTTTTTAGCTAAAAGCATTTACACAGGAAGTGGATGTATCATATATGTCTATAGCCCTTCAGCTAACCGCAGTTTTGCAGCACTTCCCTTGCTCAGTGCTGCAAAGGTAACGACTTGGAAGGACATATTCTGCAGCCCAGACATTAAAACTTGCCTTTTAATGTGACCTTATTTCCATATAAATGCACACAATTGCTAGGAGCAAGTATCGGTGTGTGTCCGACATCGTAAGCAGCACATATATAAATAAACAAAATGTCAGCGTTTAAAGCCGAGTCCTATATTGTCTCCTCACCTGTTCATCAGCGTGGGGTACGTTATCTTAATGCTACGTTATGCTAAGCCTCAAATATCTGTTATGAATTCAAGATGTATGGAAATAGAAATGATGAAGATCATGTAATTTTTTCTCAGACTACATATCGCAATGGGAATACACGGGCTTGCCAAGCTGATTGCTGACCAGGCCCCTGGAGCCATTAAAGAACAAGACATCAAGAATTACTTCGGTAACTGTTACAGGTCCCTTTTCCTACACATCAATGATGGAGAGCTGCATAATAAATAGGAATGGGATCAGATGAAAGTTGAATGAGCCTCCTGCAGTTTCTCTTTCTTTGAACTTATGGCCTTACATCTGGAAAAAATAGCAGTACCATTACAAACATCACACTGTAAATACCTGAATACTAACTAACTTGCAAACTGCTTTCTGAACATCTGTAGGCAGGAAAATTGCAATAGATGCCTCCATGTGCATCTACCAGTTCCTGATTGCTGTGCGACAGGATGGCAACGTTCTACAGAATGAAGATGGAGAGACAACCAGGTACAGTCCTGATAATAAAACATTTGAAATTCACACAAAGACGTCATAGATGTTGATATATTAGGGATGGTAGTTCTTTGATCCTAGACCAAGAAGTTCAAGACTGGGCAAAAAGCTGAAACATTTTTTCCACCTGCCTGCTCTCTTTCTTAGCCACCTCATGGGAATGTTCTACCGGACAATCCGCATGCTGGAACATGGCATCAAACCCGTGTATGTGTTTGATGGAAAGCCCCCACAGCTCAAGTCAGCAGAGGTTAGGACTTCCTCTGGTGTTTTTCTCCCTGCATTTTGTCATTGTGAAGAGGGCAGTCAGTGGTTTATTTTATTTATTTTCATTTCACGTTACCTGTAATCTTGATCACCTGCAGGGCAAACAGAGTGGTCATCGTAACTTTGTTTTGTTTATTTGTAACCATCTGTCTCTTGCTTCCTCATTTTCTTACTCTGTGTTTGCTGTTGTCCTTATCCCAAGCTGGAGAAGAGAGGGGAGAGGAGGGCAGAAGCTGAGAAGCTGCTTGCTCAAGCCCAGGAAATGGGTACAGTCAATGTTTTTCATACTTTAAGTGTAGTCATGAGTGGTGCCAGACTGGATTTAATGTGCTATGTTTCACATAAACCCCAACCCAGTTAATGGGGGCAAACAGAGAGCAAATCAGTGTAAACCAGTATGTTTTTTTTATATAAGCTTTATTTATAAGGTAGGGTTTGTAAAAATCTTTTTTGTCTCAATCCAGGGGAACAAGAGAACATTGACAAATTCACCAAGCGCCTGGTGAAAGTCACCAAGCAACATAATGACGAGTGCAAGAAGCTGCTGACCCTGATGGGAGTTCCCTACATTGAGGTTAGATCAGCATTTGCTAACATGAATTGAGAAATCCTCCCACCCCCACCTCACCTGGTGCACTTTCATTCATTAATCAGTATTTTGCTGTTATCTGTTTGTTGTTAAAATAGACTTCAGATACACCAGAAGCCAAGATATAACTGACAATTGTTGACTTTAAAATTACACAATAAAAATCTTTTTAAAATGACTGATCCACTGTATGCCTTTCAGCCGAAGTGCTATTCCTCATGTCATATGTACAGAGCAGGTGTGTGTGAATGTGTTTTGTATTGCAGGCCCCGTGTGAGGCCGAGGCCAGCTGTGCTGCTCTGGTTAAAGCAGGGAAGGTGTTTGCCACAGCGACAGAGGATATGGATGGGCTGACCTTTGGCACAAGTGTCTTGCTCAGACACCTCACTGCCAGTGAAGCAAAGTAATGTTGCACCTACATCCCTAATTTCTGGCTGAGATGTTTGGAGTTGACTGGGTGCTTTCTTGATGTTTTGGTTCTGGTGCAGCTTTTTGTGTAGGCCTAGCCTATAAATAAATCTTATTTCTTATATCTGTAAAAATGCAGTCTGCTATTTATGATTTTATTTGTTTGTATTTGTGTCCCAGTGAGTTAGTAAGAACCTAATATTTATTATGTCCATCCTTTCTTACTTTAAACAATTTGAGCTTTGAATAATTGTATACTGTATATTCAAGACCAGGAAGAGGAGTCAGTATGACCAGTGATACAACACAAATGGTTGTCAGTTAGTTGTATTCCTTTATGCACTTGATAATACATCAAGGAATTCATTTCTTTCAGGAAACTTCCTATCCAAGAGTTCCACTTTAGTCGTATCCTGCTGGACATTGGTCTGACACATGAACAGGTATTGTTCTTGAGAAAGAAGGAGCATCAGTGGTGTCATGTTTTATCTGGCGTAGGACTCAGGAACCACTTCCTCTGCTTTTCTTGTGCTGCTAAAGCATTCAGCAACTTATCAGCATTCCCTTTAAATTTTTCACTGTAATACCCTTCCTGGTATTCAGAACTGTGTGCTCTTTGGATCTGTTTAGACAGTTGGACCAGGAAGAGGAGTGATATTTCAGTCTTGCATTAATATCTCTTTTTCATGGTCCATCCTAGTTCATAGACCTGTGTATTCTGCTGGGCTGTGACTACTGCGGTACCATCAAGGGCATCGGGCCTAAGAGAGCCATCGACCTGATCAGACAGCATGGCTGCATCGAGGAAATCCTAAAAAACACTGACTCCAGTGTAAGCTAGTCTTTGTTACAGTCATGTAGTTAACCAGTTAAAGTAAGGACTTTGGTTCCAACTGTGTGTGTCACTTGTGTTCATGCAGAAGCACCCTGCTCCAGAGGACTGGCTGTACAAAGAGGCCAGGACTTTGTTTCTGATGCCAGAAGTGGTGGACTGTTCCTCAGTGGAGCTGAAGTGGAGCGAGCCGGACGAGGAGGGCCTGATCCAATTCATGTGTAACGAGAAACAGTTCAGGTGAAGCATCAGCACACTCTTCATCTGCTTCACTTGCTTACTGAGCTTTCATTGATGATGGATATTGATAGCCATGGTGATAGTTGTTGTGGTGCTGACTGGTTATGCAACATCTGACCACTAGGCTGCACTGTTGGCTGGTTGATGCCTAGTTAGATGGATAAAATAGAGGTTTCTGAAACACTGAATCAATACAAAGCAGCATTGTAGAAAACTGTTCACTGTTTCAAAGGATTTGAAATCTGCAGTCCACATCCCTGATACTGTAATTGTATGAGTGTGATTACACAAGGGGTCTTAATGTTTTTATTGGTTATTTTAAAAGACCTTGTGAAATACTTTGGGATGGTCTCGTGATTTTTGTCCAGCACACTTTGGCTTTGAGAGGTCATAGTAGTCTTCTCTGAGTGTGACTGTTAGTCATATAGAGGTGTCACTGAGCACACAGCCTTTTATAATACGAGTTTCAGTGCACATTTAATTTTTATTTAGAGCTACATTATAGTAGCTTGTCCTGGACATTTGTCTTGTTACTTTAACTCCTGCTTCATATGCTTTTTTCTGCTTTAAAAATATTTGAAGGATACTTCTGATGAAATTGACATTACACGTAGGATAAATGCAGGTTTTTATTAAATGATGAATTTATTTGTGCGTTCAGTGAGGACAGGATCCGTAACGGCTGTAAGAAGATTGTGAAGAGCAGACAGGGCAGCACACAGGGACGGCTGGACTCTTTCTTCACCGTCACCGGATCTCTGTCCACTAAACGGAAGGTACACTTTAGTGCATCTATATGTTTGCAATGGGATGATTGCACTTAATCTATTATGGATTTAACCTTTTTAACCAGAAAGAGAAGGTTGACAGATTCAGTAGGCTGCTTTATTTTGTATATTATGAATTTTTCCAATCCCTGCCTTTTGTCTGTTTGTGCTTTTGGAGCAAGTTGGTGTTGTACATACTTGGTCATTTTCTGAATGTTGAACAAATTTGTTCCATTTGCTTTTTTCTTAGGAGCCTGAGGTAAAAGGGTCAGCGAGTAAAAAGAAGAAGACTGGAGCCAACCTGGGCAAATTTAAGAGGGGGAAATAGACTAAACACATGGTTCTTTGAATTCTTTGAGAAGTAATTATTGTAGTCAGCAACAGTTTCTGTATAAAGAATATATATATCTCCATGTGAGATAAGAGAGAACTGCAACACAATAGGACATTATGCAAGTTAAGATGAAAATATGTTATGGATGTTGAAGGGTTCTATCAAAGTGGGTTTTCTGTCATGAAATAAAAGTAAGTTTTTTTTTTATACAACAACTTGTCATTTGACTTTTGATTTACTCATTTGGGGTTAAGAAATGTGGGCATTTCATAATGTGGAAGGCCTGTGTGAGCATGGCAAAGAACTGTGTTAATTACTTTTCCCATAAAAAGCAGTTGGCTTTTATATTTAAAGTATAATACATGTAGAGCACTGACAGTAGCACACATTGCAAACATGTAAAAACACTTGTTTTAAAGATTATAAAAGAATTCATATGTCCATATACTCAGAAACCCAGTAGTGGTTCCTCAAGAGGAGATCACATTGTCTGCATGACAACTAACATGAGCTCATTATAGCACCCACTCATCTACTGCTTTCCCACGGTGAGGATAGCGCCACAGGCAAAGCTACATCATTGGGGTTTTTTTCTTTCAGAGCAAAAACAGTCTGAAAAGTAATGATCAGCTGCTTTCAACAATGGCATCAATCAATCTGTCCAACTATCAGATTTGGTTGTCTGTATCTCTCCTACATAAACCTGCAAAGTCTGGCTATTTTCATGGACTTTCACTGGGTTAGTCAGACATGGCACCTCTGGTGACCTACAGGAAACCTGGGAATCTTTAGAATAGGAACTGCCCAAAATTTGACACGTTTCAATGTGATCCAACAGATACGTGACTCAGCCATTATGATAGACACCTCACTTCAGTATTTCAAAACAGAAGGTAAAGATGTGAGGAGAAGATACAGGAAAATATTTAGAAGAATCAAGGAAATGCATCACAGATCATGTGGTGTACAGTTTTCCAGAAGCATTTGCTGAATACAGCCACAGTAATGAGTAATATTTTCTCGTGGAATATAAATCCAACATGAGTACTGTGTAGGTCTGAAGGGGGCCACCATCCCTCCTGAATGTGCACCCTGTCCCTGACATCACTCTGATTTGCCCATGAAAGGAGGTTGGCAGCACAGTGATGGGGGGAGGGGAGGCATTCCCACACTGAGGAGCACAGTCCACAGTCTGGATCAGATGCCTCAAACACTTCAGCTCATGGTATCCTGCAATTCATGAAGCCATGACACTCTGAAGAGGCTGCTGGATGTGGTCCCAGTATTTATGAGAAGCATGAAGTGGATCAAGGTCAATGTCAGTTTCATAATAACAGAATAATGTAAAAAGCACATTGCAGACTACTGTGTTAGGTTCCCATAGCACTCTTGATTCAAGTCTTTGTTTTCATCCTCCATAGTCAATGCCTTTTGGAGAGTCTGTCTAAAGCAGCTTTGCAGCTATGAGCTGGGTGATCCAAATCTTCAGTTTTAGTGTTGCTTGGTGCAAGCGGCCAGCCTCTAAAGAATGCAGCAGTCTTGTCAGCAGCCCAGGTTGACTGCAGTGAATGTGGACCTGCATCATGTTTCTCTCCACCTGATAAAAACTGCATCTTCTCTGCAACTGCAAAGACCGGCCAGGAATAGCAACATTAATGAGTCTCAGATTAACAGGAGAATCACAAAGTTACACATACTGGGTTTAACATGTTGAAGTACATATGTCATATGAAGCAAATCAAATCTACTGTGTATATGATGATGACATGGTGACATTTTTTATGACCATGTGCTGTGTTTGAAATTGCTCACTATAATATATTGTTGTTTTGTAGCATTGCATGTAAGTAAGAATTTTCAAACACTTTGACTCATGAGTAATGTATAGGCCACGCTGCAAAACACTTAGGGGTCAGGGCCACTTACAGTTTTTTGCTGTTGCTAACAAGCATTAACCAATACTTAAAATACTTCTTCTAAACTCTTAACACAGCAACACAGTTACATCACACACCTGGCCAAATGGTAAATTTTTGGACAAAAACCACATTTTGTTAAATAAATACAAACTTTACATTTCACAATGCAAAATACCATTTTCTACATATACTAACTTTATCAAAACACAGCAAACCTGACTCATAATTGAGTCGTTTGATCAAAACATTAGCACTAGTTTTCTATCCAACAGGAACATATAGTCAGTCATAGTGCACAGACTGTCAAAATGTAAAAAAGTAATCACTTTACAAAAATGACATTACTTCTCATTGAACTGTATACAATATGAAAACCATCTTTGATATCCAAAAATGTAGAAATACAGTAATTCAGTCAGCCTTACTGTAAACACACTAAAATTGTGTGTGTGGATAAATTTCGTATAGTATATGTACAGTGGAGCCATCAGTACTTTATGGATTATAAAAAAAAGGGCAGAATTGCTGCAGTAAAGGCTTTACGGTATTAGCATTT